GTTCGTGTTTTGTTGTGCTTGTCTCCACATGCTTAAATGTATCATTTTCGCTTGCCTTATCTGTTCCCCTTGCAGAAATGGTATTTTCCCTATGCAAGTTTGGCATCTTCTCTTGCAGTATTTGTCCTCTGATGCAGGAGTGGAATGCAAACCTTGCATTTGAAAGGCCCTTCAAAACATCACTTCTCAGCGACTCATCATGCTTGGCAGCTCCAATCATCATATCAGCAGTTTGAAAATGAGTACTCAAGAGCAATACTAGGTAAGCAATCAGGAAAGTTTCCAGGTAGTCGGTTCCTGACTGGAAATTTGATTTCAAGTTCCGACTGATTGTTTTCTTTCTCCTTAGTCCTCCAGGTGAGAATAAGGACAAAGAAAAGGACAGGGAGATTGCATTATATGTGATACTTTTGCTCTCGTCCTTGATGATATGAGATATTCTTGCTCTAGTGTGACTTATTTGAAGATGTATTCTCGGAGAGGAAGAAAACTGAGTATTTCAAGATGTTTTGTTGAAGATGCATTCTCGGAGAGGAAGAAGAGTTAGATATTTTTGTAGGTCTACCTTGCTATGGAAGATAGAGGTCGACATATATAGGGATTTTCCAATAACATGTAGTGGTGATGTGCCTTTACTCTTGTCAGCAACTGTGGTGTAATTAGAACAATAAGATTCACGCGTTTTCAACTTTATCAGAGATCTTTGACAAAGTTGCACGTGATATCCAAAAGCTGAGATTGCGTCTGAGAAATGTTGACGAACTTTATCCTGAAAATCTGGCTTTTCAAATTCAGAGAGCAGTGACTCTTTGATTTTTGAACAAGTGACCATGTTGCTTCTTCTTTGATAGAGGCATCAATTGTGCTCAAAATGTATGCTCGAAAAACTACTGCATGTAGAATTTTCCCTTTCTTGCACTTTTGAGATTTTATCTGACCTCCTTTTTCCTTCATCATTTCTGAAAAATGGTTTGCCCATCTAACATTTGCTTAGATTTGAGTCTTAAGAGTGGTACAGACGAGCCACTTCAGGCTAGTATATGGCGCCCGTCCTTCTTATCTTCTAATGGTCCTCTTGCAGTTGGAGGCTCTGTGATAAAGAGTGACCTAATTGCTACAGTGGTAGTTAGGAATCTTCTCACTCCCAAAGATAACAGAATCATTTCAAACCGGTCTGATGAGTTGGCCATTTAAGACTCATTGGCTCTCAATATTCAATGTGCGGGCTCTGTTTCTAATATGGGCGAACGCATACTTGCTCGAACTCACCAAGTTGAATCATTAATGGTTGAGGTGGCAAGTCTTAAATAAGATATTAAAGGGCTCAAGCACGAGAATAGAGTGTTACACATGTTTGCAAATAATTACTCGACGAGCATGAAAAAAAAGCTCGACCAGCTACTGGAATCCGAAGGTCGGACTCAAAATGACAATCAGGGATTCGAGTCTTTATTCTAAAGACACCCATTGTCTCAGCCGTTTGGAGTTTCACTAAGTATTGAGGCTCAAAATAATCAACCTCTGGTGTCTTCCCCTTCTGGGGTACTTCCGAGTACTGAGGCTTCACATGAGCAACCTTTGTGAAGGTTCCGTCCTATTTGTTTATTTTAACTCATGTGTATGTAATTTCTCAGAGATATTAATCAATAAGCTTTATTTCATTCAATGTATTTTGCCAAATACAATAAAACATATACTTCACTAAGATGTGGTACTTCTGGACCAAATATTAATTTATCTTTACCTTCACGAAGATAAATGATCATTCTTACTGTCTAAATAATTTGAGTATTCAACTTATAATCTTCAATCCATATGATTCTTTATAAACATCATAGATAAGATTCGTGTTGGTATATTGTTCGATTCTGCAATTCGAGACAACATCTCTCTCAACACTTTATAAACTTTCTAGATTCTTCAGGAGTCTAAATCTAATATTATTGACTCTTGCAAGAGATTTCAGTATGTTACAACCATATCATAATGATAATACTCACTAAGGCAATTTATACCATCCATTGGTATTTAAGTACATATTTTATGCTTTACCCTTCCAGAGCTTTCTTCAAGTAATCTGAATCCTTCAGGGATTTTCTACACTTTATGACACATTTTCCTTTAGAATTTATATAGAGCAACTTGCTTCCATGTATATTTGAGGGATTTATTTATAGAGATATGATGTGGGCGACTCATAACCCTTCATATATAATTCTCCATTCATATGAACTTGTTTATAAGAGCATAATTTTAGGTTTCAATTAGTAACCTTGTGTCATATCATGTGAGTGTAATTCATTGTATCACAAATGCCCATATGTAACCTCATTTGGTTCAACATCTTTTGGCTATTTGTATTATATACACATATATATAGGTCCCTTTTTTTACGTTCTTACAATATTGTAATGGAATTGTCTTTCTCCATTTTTGGCAAATAATATTTCCTTTCGTCGACGAACAAAAGAACGTGACTCAATATCAATATAACCCATTGATGAATTTAGTAGTTACTTGTAAAAACCAAAATTACCATTGGTTGTCATCAATCATTGATCCTATATTCTCATGTGCATGCACATGCATAAAAGCTTTTCATTTATTTGGGTATCTATTGCCTCTTTATAGACATTACACCATTTCTTCCAAGATAGTCATAATTTAGAGAATGCGGATCATAACCTCCTCTAGAATGTTATAGAGCTGGGATTTTAATCTCCACTTCCGAAGTTGAGTCATTGGAACCTATATGTCTATCATGCTTCATGCATGAGACATCAACATTCCCATGTTCGCGTATTGTCCTTTTTGGGACATGTATCCATACGGTGACTGTTATGCTTCCGGCATGCAACAGTTATACTTTGGGAATGCAATAGTTCAGTAGTGTCATATTCTTCTTCTTTCGAAGTACTGAATCTTTTGAATCCAAGGGTCTGCCACGCTTTAGGCGTGTAACAGATTTGTTACCACATTATTTTGTCCAACAGGAACATCAATTCATGTAGGCACATTTGCAACAAGTATAAGTGATTTTATTACTTTTGTTGCATCATTAAATGTATCTAGTATTTGATTTGCATATCGTTGCATTATTCAATTATTCTCACTTCATTTTTATATTGATTGCTTCATGAATCAAAATAAGAAAAATTTTCTTCTTTCTTCTGGAACGGTCTTTTCTCATCATTCTTCTGGAATGATATTTTCTCATCATTCTTCTGGAACGATGTTATTTTTTCCCCCTAATGGCGGTAAAATTGTCTTATCAAAATCCTAGTCTGCAAGCCGCGCGGTAAACATATCCCTAGTCAAGGGTTCTAAATGTTGAATGATAGATGGTGAATCAAATTCAGCATAAATTTCCAATTTGTGTTCAGGCCTTATTTTTAATACATTGTGGCAGTGCAATAGGCACATAGATAACATAATAAAAAAAACTCGTGCATGTGTAATGTTTGGTTGGTGCCCAAACACAGTTGTACTGAGAAATATTGATGGTTGGTAATTGGTCTCAACCAAACTTAATAGTGAATTATGTATAATGGTATGTCCACATGTAGAAAAACTTGCAATCTCGTTTTCATGAGTATAGCGTGAGTAATCAATTTCGTTTGCTTAATAAATGCTTTTGCTAAATCATTTTTGAGTATGAACATGAGGAACATGGTGTTCAACGTCAATGCCCAATGACATAAAATAATCATCAAAACTTCGAGATGTAAACTCTCCTGCAAAATGTATCATACATCAAGGAACTTCTGGTTCTTATTTAATAGTCTATGAATTGAGACTCTTATGACCTTTATTACAATTAAGTTGTGGCACTTCAGCTCTTCAAACTTAAGGTACTTATCAAGAAACTTCATGTCCGATCTTGAGGATCTAGGGACTTCATTCCTGATCTTTTTGCATGATGGAACTTTGGGACTAATCATTTTATATGATGAGGATCAAGAAACTTCAGGTTCTTATCTGATCAAGGAACTTTGAGTCCAGTATGTACTCATCGTAACAAAAAAAAGTACAATAAATAAATTAAAGCAATAGGCGGTAATTCCAACCATGGTAAATAAATTGCTTTAAATAAATAGAACTTGTGATAGGGCTTTAAACCAACACCATGCACATAAATATGCCAAAACAGAAAATGCAATGATTAAGTCCTTATCTTTTGTTGTTTTCTTTTTCTTGGTCTGCCATTTTCTTTTATTTCATCCCTTTTACTTTTATTATTATTTCACAGTTCGAAGTCATTTTTGTTATCCAGGAAATAACAGTAACACTAATTTCCAATTGGTGTTCCTCCTCTGGTGAGTTTCGAAAAAATTGAAACGGTTCCCATAAGTTTTGGAGTCAAGCGTGTCTGTAACTTATGAGAAGATACCGAACAACTTTCGTGAAGTTCAAATTTTAGTATGATATGGATAAGAGGATACCGAACAACTTTCGTGAAGAAACAATTTTGATTTGAGCTACCGAAATTAAGTTTTGGTACTCATAAGGTGCCTGTCCAATTTTCTGCGAAATTAGAAACTGGTTTAGTATTTCAGGCATCTGCAATTATTACACCGTTGGAATTTTCTGAAAATTTGATCAATTGTAGGTACTGGGCAGACGAACAACTTTGAAGAAGAAAGTATTTCAATCTGAGGTCTGCAAGTTGGAGTTCCGAGGCTGTTTACATGACTGTCAGATTCTTTACGAATTTTGAGTCTGTACTCTTTTGCTTGTGCAAATGATGATATACAGTCATACAATAACATATATATATATATATATATATATTTGCTTCAGGGAAATTAGTAGTACAAAGATTTTATGATGAAATAAAAAGATTTTCTTATCTGTGAGATTCCAGGCAACATAGGTGAACAGGATTTGTGGCTTTGTGATTTCCACTGATACAAGAGTTTCTCGTGCTGATAACGTGTTGTAAAACTGACGGTGTGTGCAATGGAATAAATAAATAAGACACAAAATTTACGAGGTTCCTCTACAGTCGAGTACGTCCTCTGGGAAGCAGTGGTACTTTCATTATAATCAGGAATAATAAGATTACAAAGATAACTCTTTCTATTATCTCCTCTCTTCTTCCTCTCTTCTTTCTTCCTCTACCGTCCGTATGTCTATCTATGTATATTTGCTCTCCTTCTTCTTATGGTGGGGTGAACAATGGATTGGTAGTGGGATAGGTGGTCATCCACAATAAATGGCTTGTGAATTACAACAGCCAAAACCCAAAACATAGCCTAACTAAAAATCTCACCAATTAAAAGTTCCACCAAAAAAAAAAAAACACACTATCTCTTTGATCAAATGAAAACTCCAAAATCAACTCAATGATTGATAACAACACATAAACGAATCTAACCAAGATTTTCCTCAAGGGATATCCCATAATTTAAATTCATGCTAAACCCATTCCCTAATTCTCTTAATTGAAGGCAACCCAGAAACAAAATAATGAGAAAAAATGAAAAACTTATTCTCAGTAGCCAAACAGCTCAAAGCCCAGAACAAAACAAAATTAAAAATTAAAAAAAACAAACAAAAAAACACCTTTGCGGGTTTGGAGCTCTTTTCTTATAATTGTTATAGTATTGGTGTTGCGCCTCAATTCGTGGTGTTTCCATCTTTATCAATTGAAGGTGGGGCTGCTGGTTTGGGTGAAAAAGAACAGGAGAAGGAACCGAGCCTACAAACAGAATCACGAAAAGCAAACATAAGACAAAACCCATCTACAAATCTAAAACCACAAAAATTAAAAAAATAAATAAATAAATAAAAGACCCACATTGAGAAAGCTGTAAAACTCACCAGGAAACACCAACTTTTCTGGGTAAAAAATTGGATCGGATCTAATTGCATCGTTGTCAATAATTCTTGAGAGAAAGATGGAAGGTTGGAGGGCGAGAAAAATCGGCGTTTTGGAGACAGAAAGCTAGAGTTGAGAACAACATAAACTGAGAATGGCTAGAGAGAGAGAAGCAAAAGCAGAGAAGAAGTCGAAAGGAGGTCCAGCGATGATCGATGTGTGGGTAAAAATTGAAACGGAAGGGAAAAAGTGAGAAGAAAAGTGGAGAGCAGGTGTCGCACAGTGATGGTGTACACGTGCATCCAATGGGCAAAACCGTAATCCCACTGTACAAAGCTGGCAACAAAGGAGGAAAGCAAGGATAAACCGAGGGGCAAAACGGTCATCACACTGGTCATCCACAGTGACCAGGCCGGTTGAGTTTTAATATATACTAGCTTGTAATGCCCGCGCGTTGCTGCGGGATTACAAATTCCAAGAATAACAAATTTGTAAGTGGAAGTACCTCATTGAAAGCCTTCAGGAAGCAGTACAACACCTTTTGGAATCTTTGCCTCATTTTGGCCGTGCATAATGTGCAAGCAATTTAAGCATTTCCCAGCACCACAGAGCATCATATTTCCTAGGATTAATCAACAATGCCTCCTCTAGCTTTGAAATAGCAGCTGGGCAAACATAGGTAATATTGATTTATTTGGTAATTTAGGTTCCAACTTTGTCTCGATTTATGATTTTTTGTTAAACTGAAAGCGTAAACATTTAGGCACTTACCAAGAAAAAAGCAATTAATTATTTGATGCTACTTACAAAACCAATTGCCATACATAGGCTTTGATTAAAAGGTTTAAGTATTTACCAAAAGATTCCAGTTGCAAAAATGCATGGAATATCTACAAAGTGTATGATAAATGAAGAATTTAATTGCTTCTCTTCCTTCATTTTCCTTGCACCCAAGAAAAGAAAAACAATTTAGTGCCAAACTTTAAAAAAAAACCTGTAAAATCCACAGCAAGCATTAAAGAAACTTAATAGTGTAGGAGATAAATGTTTGCCCAAATAATAAAAGGAAAGATGTTTGGTAGCTATATTTCCAGCAAGCTCATATACACAGAACATATCTATTGTATCATACACATAAGTCAAACAAAAGCATTAGAGCTAATAATAAAATGGAAATGAAAACCTATTAACCAATTTATTAACAAATTTTTTGTGTAGATCGCTAACTCACTATTCTTAATTTATCAAATTGATTAAAATTAGTAATTCTCTTATATCTATCAATACCTCTCCTACCCTAGAACAATAAACAAAAAAATTCTCAATTTCTTATATCTCACAAAGAAAAGCAGATGCATGTCCATTTGAAATCTTACAACCAAAAGAAAATATCAGGGTTTCTTAGTTTGTTACCCAAATCCACCAATTTGAATCAAATCTGTACACCCCAGCTTGAAATCTGTCTGAATTCACTTGCACGAACACAAATCTTATACATGGAGAACAGTTTAGATGAAGTTGAGAGAATAGGTAGTAATGAAATTAACAAACAACCAAATTTCAAACGAATAATTAATTGTTAGATGTACAACGACAGCAAAAAAACTAAATTTTTAGATGTAGAACCCGAAATTAACACTAATAAAAAAATAGCACTTGAATAAAATGCATAAACAAAAGCTGTGCTAACATGAGAAAACATGCAAAACAAAACAATGTTAAATATCCTAGGTGTTCCATTTGTAATTATTCTCCATTTTTATATATTTAAACTACCAATTATCTGCATAAATATTTCATTTTCTTACAACTATCACAACTATAAAACATACTTTGTAATTGCTTTAATTACATCATTCTTTAAAAAACCCTTGGGTGGCAGCTGAAAGGCTGTCATATTTGAGCAGTGCATATAAGCCAATAATTTTATCCACTGTTATTATGTTTATGATTTGCATTTATTTAGAATTCATAAATGTAGGAAAAGATTTATAGGAACTTAAAATTTTTAGAACAATGAAAAACTATGCATGTATTGTGAACTCTATGTAGAGAGCTTTGCAGAACTGGAGACAAATGTGTACCTGATTGGTTTGCACTGCCCTATCCGGTGGATTCTATCTTATGGTTGCCTCTCAACAGCTGGGTTCCACCACGGTTTTTGCTATTATGAACCCTAGCTTTCTTTGTCTCGAAAACGACGGTTTGTCTCGCTCTTCAACCTTGCTGTCTCACTCACAAATTAACACTGAAAATAAATTAAAAGAGAAAAAAATAATTTGAAATTTTCGTACCTCAAGTTTTTGGGTTTTTATTGTGAATCGAATTAAGAAGTAAAGGCACAAATTGTGGGAGGAGAACACGAAGAGAAAGCAAGGGTTTGTTTTCCCCATAAGAAAACTTATTAATTCATGTCCTCTTCCTTCCCACGCCTAATTCACTTAACCCTCACTTTTCTCTACCCAACTCAAACTCCCCCATCTCCCAACACTGTCACTTTCTTTCATCCCTCACTACTCTCTGCTTGTTCCATCTGTCTCTGCAACTTTCCTTCTCCGTCTCGGCAAAAATAAAAAAAAAGAAGTGTAATGAGGCAAGAAACAAAAGATCAATAGAAGATGTTATTATAAACCTGTTATTGAACAATATTTGAATGAAATGAACAAACGTGGAGATGTTAAAGTAAATGAGCAGCATACCTTGTAATTTTTTGGAAGGAAGTGACGTAGAATATGAACGATGATGTAAAATTGTTGTAAGACATTTGAAAAGTGGTAGGAGGAGGTGTAAGAATATGGTATCTTAATTAAATTACATGAATTGATAGAGTGCAAAGCATGGAAAAAAAAGCTGTATACAGTAAGTTGTGAGAAAAGCTTATTAGGTGAGAATGCAAAATAATGAAAAATACGAATGACCTATGGAAAAATAGGTAAAGATGTTGGTTAAGCTGGGAAATGAGGTAAAAATGCGAAAGCGAAACAACATTAGAAATAACCAATGGAAAAGTAGGGTAAATTATGTCCTTTTCCTATTGTGAAAATAGGAACAGAGGATGTTGAAGATGGATCAGTTATGCTTTATTTTGTATGTTTGTGGCATAGAAAGATATAATTTGGTGAATCGTTTTGACTTTGTTTTTTTTTTTTTCCAGCATAATCATCATGTCCATCTTTTCTCTTCAGAGGAACTAATTGTTACCAATATATAAACAAACAGTATCTACTTTTCATGTGTTACAAATACATGATAAATTGCTTGCTTATTCATTGAGAAATTTAAGATGGACATCCTGAAGCATGAATCTAGATGTTTTAAAGACATATTTTATGGTTATCCGTTGATTAAATAAAGAGATACAGTATGTATTGGAGAATTGTTTAATCTATCTAACCAATAATAAGAATGGTGTGTAGGTAGATTAAACAATTTTTTTTATTGGTGAGGTGTTTTTTTGTTTAACCATGGGTTATGGAGCGAACACATTTTTGGTTACATGTTTGATAGTAGTTTTGGATGTTCAACTATATCTATTAATGGGTAGGCAAGTAATTAATTATGTACTAAAGCTAGATGAAAAGTGGAGACTGTTGATATACATTGGTAACAATTAGTTCCCCTGAAGAGAAATGTTAGTAAAATTTAAATTTGAGTAAAGTGCATTTATGAAAAAGGGAATAAATTATAGTTTTTTTAACATACCTTTGATTGCTGTAGAAATGTTTTTGTATGAGGAACAAACCAAGCAACAAACCGTGTAGTTGACTGGGTGATGAACATCTCGAATAGACTGATAACTTAATTTACCAAAAAAAAAAAAGAAAAAAAAAAGAGAGATCATTGTTAATATGTGTTTGAACAAAAATAGCACGTGTATATGCATGTTTAATAGATTATAATATAGATGGTAAAAATTACTGGAGACATTTTTATCAAAATGAAAGGAAAGTACCTAGATTGTTGTTTATAATTAGTATGGGTGAAGCGTCAGTACTTTTAAGAATATTAACCTTGATTTCTAATGGATTCAAATAAGCTGTTGAAATTTGGAAAGAAAAAAGAAGTTATATAATGTGGGATATCAAGTTGGGAAATGGATGAGGATATCTTAGAAGTTTAATTATGGAAATGCTTAATTTTCATAGGTGTTAAATTGTGGTGTAAGTTGACAGGGGAATGCATTGTTGGTTTACTTATAGATCAGATAACAATATAGAAACCAAATACATATTGAACATTTTATACCACAGATGTACAGAGCAAATATGGAAGTGAAAATATACTCAAAACTGATACAAAAATATATGCTGCAATATTTTGATATAAAACAAAACTGCCATAATCAAATAAATTAGGGTTTTTTCTTCGTAGTTTCATGTATTTCAAAAGATATATGATGTAAATTATACTTGAATATTAGCATTGTATAAAAAAAATGTTAAATGGATGTATCACATTTAAGTTTAAGTAACAAAATACTTTAAATGGTTTTTCAAAGTAGCATTGTTTATATCCAGAAATTAATGATATATCGTATGTTTATATAATATATGTATCTTTGACTATGAAAACAATATAACTTTTTACTATTAATCTTAACATTAACAGAACAGATAAGAGCTAATGAGATAAAGCTAAGCTACTTCACCTCTTCCATAAGTCCACGTCTCTATCTAAGCGTAGACATCCCCACATCGACCAGATAGGTATCCTGTCGTGACCTGCAAGATTTACACAGAATTGAAAATTTGAAAGAGGTTCAAAGCATGAACAGATTGTAAAATGCAAATTTTATGGCACCAAATTGGGTTGGAACCAAGGACGAACCATCATGAATAAAATGTGGATACACAAAATTGGCAGGAGATAAACTTGTTTCATGAAACGCAACTCAGAGTGATGCTGATCTTTGGTTCCGACATGGAAATATCACATGATCTCAAATTACCTTCAATTGGTAATTATGTAAAGAACAGTTACGTGAAAAATCACATGTATATATTTTTGAATCCAATCTATCATGAAATATTCTAACATGTTATAAAATTGTGATAAAACAAAAGAATTTATGATAAGGGTGAAGTAGAAAAACTATTCATACTAAAACAAAGCTAGGCTTAATGTTGATGCACATATAATAATTCATCTGTTTACATCATTTGTCATGTACATGTAAAAGGTAGATAAATATAATAGTTAATAATGATTTGAAGATTGAATGTAAACATTGTTTTTTAATTGCTGTAGTTGCATAGTATGTATATATGTATATATATATATATATGATTAAATCAACTATTTGATTGTAAATTTTGGAGAACATCTTTAAATACTATATTTGCAGTATAATTGGTAACATTATTTTCTCCATCACCTATCAAAATTTTGAGGCCTTCTCTTGATGTCACTCTAGATAATGCAACATATAGTTGACCATGGGTAAACACCGGTTCAGGAAGATATAAACCAACTTGTTTCAAAGATTGTCCTTGACTTTTGTTAATGGTCATTGCAAAACATGGTCTAATTGGAAATTGACGTCTTTTAAAAACAAAAGGCCACTTGCTCTCTGTTGCTGTAAGAGTAATCCTTGGTATGAAAACTTTGTAACCAGTATTGTTTCCAGTAAGTATTTTGGCTTGGATAATTCTATCAAGCAACTGGGTAATAACTAATCGTGTTCCATTACATAAACCCAAAGATTGGTTCAAATTTCGTAATAACATGATTGGCATTCCTATTTTTAAAGTCAAGTTATGCGTGGGTAAACCATTGAATTCTAATTTATTCAAAAACTCAACAGGATATGATGCTTCTAAATTTTCAATGTTTCCATTGGAAGAACACAATGAATCATAGCTTAGGTACAAATGTTGTTCTCCAGGTAACAATTCAATTATATAATTGTTTATATCTGTAACAGTTGTATTTAGAGGTGTTATAATAGCACGCTCTCTTAAGTAATCAAAATTGTTAAAAGAAGTTTCAAAATTGGGATATGTTGTGAAAAAAATGGAAGAAATAGGATTTCCAGAAGAATGAATTATTAAATCTTCAGCTATTTTAACCAAAGATGTGTCTTTGTCATTCAGATTATTTTCATCATTTATGTCATTAATTTTTCCATCACCTATTTGTAAAATCCAATCTGCAAAATCACTGATTTTTTGTTTTTCTTCAATGCTAATTCCACTTTTGGATAATCTCATATTTTCTTTTAATCGAAAAATTTTAAAATGGGACCATAAATAAGAACTATTTAAAGAAGCATTTATTATGTCTTCTTTAGTTCCTCCAGGTATAACAGGTAAGATTTGTCGAAAATCACCACCTAATAAAAGAGGTTTACCACCAAATGGAAGAGTATGTTCTGAACTATGTAAATGTGACAAAAGATCAGAAAGTGATTTATCCAACGCTTCAAAACAGTGTTTGTGATTCATAGGTGCTTCATCCCATATGATTAAATCAGTTTTCTCAATTAATGTAGCAAGATGTGTTTTCTTTTTAATTGCACAAATGGAAGATTCAGTAATAACTAAAGGTATTTTAAATCTAGAATGAGCAGTTCTACCATTTGGTAATAATAATGATGCTATTCCTGATGATGCAACTGCTAAAACAATTTTTCTTTCAGATCTGAGCTTACTTATGATAGTATCCCATAAAAAAGTTTTTCCAGTGCCTCCATGACCATAGACAAAGAATAGACCTTGTTTTTTTGCATTCACAGTTTCTATGACACAATCATAAATGTATTTTTGATCTTGATTGAGTTGTGATTTTAAAAATGTGTGTTTTTTGGACAATTCTTCACAATCATAATTTAACTCTTCTCTTAAAAGTCTATTTTTTATTTCTACCATTCTATTTGCATCAGGCATTGGTAGATAATGTTTTTCTAAAGAAGTTGATGCATTATTAAAGAGCAATTCTAGTTCAAATAGTACACAATTTTTTAATTCGTTTTCTGGCACAATCATATCAGGAATTGCAAAAGCTTTTCTTAAGTTGTACAAAATGTCGTCATACATATTATGCCAATAATTATCAAAAAGAATTTGAGGATTTGCAACATCACAAAATAAAATAATTGTAACAAATAATTGTCTTAATTGAGTAGATGACGCTATATTTACAGCATTTGATAAAGCCTCAATCCATTCTTTATCATCACCTAGCAATCCTAATGATTGACATGCATCTTGATATGAAGTATGGACAACGCCATTAACAGTTTTTATGTCATCAAAACTTAATGCACCTTTTTTCAAATTCAAAAGCATTCTTAAATAATATAACTCACCTGATGCAGGATGTACATATGTTATTCTGCCTATTGAACCTCCACGTTTTCTCGGCTTCCAAATTTTTCTGCGTGTATCATATAAGAATTTTGAGGGAATTTGAGCATAAGTTAAAGAACGTGCATCACTATAAATTTTGTTAATTTCAAACCAACTTGTCAACATTGTATGGTCAGAAGCATTTTGATTAACAATTGATTGCAATGATTGATCAGCACTAAAAACAATATTTTGTTCCAACGGTAAATGGACTGGTAATCGTTCAACAGAAGGTTCTCTATGATGTATAGAATATTGAAACAATCTCCAAACAGCTTCATAAGGGGATATATATCTACAATTTAAATATGTTAATATCTCATCATTTGGATCTTGTTGAAGAATCAAGCGTGCTCTATCTGGACCTTTGTTTATATATTTAAACAAATATTTTATAAGTGTTGATTGACAACAAAGTTCAACATTTATATGAGCATTATATCTCAAAAGTAATTCAAAATTATAAGGAACAACAAAACTATTATCAACTTTTATTCCATTTTTTATAACAAATTTGGTCTCATCATCACGACGCCTATAAATAGGAAAACCACTTGGTTCAAAAACTGTTTCATTTTTATACGGCTTGGGAAAACTTTTGGAACATTTATTTTCTCGCATGCAAGAAGAATTTTTATTACTATAACCACATGGACCATGAATCATAAATTGATTGACAATTTCATAAAGCCGAGGATTAGCAGATTTGTCGGGTAACTCAGCTGAAATTATTGAATCTATATCTGTTGCGGAGTAGCACTTAAATTTTGATTTCAACCATATTAGCATATGAGAATGAGGTAAACCCCTTTTTTGAAATTCAATTGTACAAACATCTGTTTGGAAAAACAATCAATAGAAAAATGAAACAAAACAACCACAAAAAACAGGAGGTCAGTTGCATGAAGAATAAAAAAACAAAGAAAAAAAAATGTAAAATAAGAAATAAAGAGAGTTTTTTTAGAACTTACTTGCATCAACTTCTCCAAAAGGCTTTCCAGATTTGATAAAATCAAGCATATCATCGAGTTTCATTTTAAAAATTCTAGAAATTATATCAGGTCTGTCCTCAGGCTTGTAACCTGGTTTTGTTTCAAATTCTCTTATAATTTCTGGCCACTTTACATTGCAGGTAAATGTTATGAATAAATCTGGATGACCATATTCTCTACAAATAGCCATAGCATCTTGATAATTATTGAACATGTATCTAGGACTTCCTGTATACGAAGTAGGCAGCACAACTTTTTGTCCCAAATTCTTTGCGTCATTGTCACCTCTTGACATTGCATCATAAATGCCTTTGTAAATTTCACTTCTCAAATTCTTTTGATTTTGCCTAATGTAATCTAGTCTATCTTCCTCAAGTGTTGCATAAGAATCAACCAAATATTGTTGGAAAAGTCGACCTCCTTTTAACAACGTAGTTAAGGATGGTTCTCTTTCTTGAATGTGATAAGTTATATAAGCTCTCATGGGTATCCTTTGTCTTTTCGTTTTTGGACCTTTATAATTTTCATTCCATTTTAAATCTGGTTTATACCCATCTTCACCATAAGGAAAAAGAATAGGATACTGAAGAGCCATAAATTTTGGATTCAATTTTGTAACACGTTTTAATCCTTCACTTTTACAATCTATAATGATGTCTCTATTAGAGTCAGACAAACCTATATCACCAACTATTAAACCCCCTATTTCATCACTTGTTGGTTGATCATATTGTTTACCATCATTTTGTTGTCTGCCTAATAAACTCATCTTTAAATTGATAAGTCCATCAATTTCAAATTTATCTCTTGCTATTCGGAAAAGTTTGACTAACTCATTTGACTGATCAAACATTTTAATCAATTCTTGAACAATTTTTGTATCAAGCCTTCCATTATTTTCTTGAGAACCAAGAGCTTTGAGACGGTTTTGGACTTCATTATATGTATCATAAACATATAATTGGGCAAATTTTGGAGATTCATTGTCCATAGGTAAAAGTGATCCCATCAAATGACAAACTTGACCACTAATTTTAAAAATGTAAGGACTTGATCCATCATTAATTGAGTGATCAACTTTTGCCCCCATAGAAGTAAATGAAAACATAGAATTGTAAGCTCTAATATTTTCTCTGAAAGACAAACTTTTTGGACCTCCATTTGGATCAAGCAAAGAATCTAAAAAAGTTGGTGCTGGTTTTGGAGGTTCAAATTTAATTTTTCCTTCTTGACAACAAAGAGTGAAAATAGGTTCAGCTTTTTTCCAACTTTGTTTAAGAGATTCTTTTAACCAAAAATAGGCACCACAGTGAACACATGTATAAATCTTATCACCCAAGTCTATATAATCTCTGATAACCCCTATAAAAAAAATATGGCAAAAAAACAAAAACAAAACCAAAAAGTTAGCAACAATACACAATGAAAGAAACAGTAAAAATAGACTAAACATAATTGTTGTATATAATTTGAAACGCACCGTTTCTATTTTTTTGAAAAAAAGCTTGCCCCTTGTTGATGAGATTACGATCTTCAATATATAACGTTTCATACACTTTGTTTCCAGTATTGTTTGATAAATTAACAATGCTTTTCCCTTTTTGTTCACGTGTATATTTTTGTTTTTTAACCAAGCTAGAATTTAACATTTGATCCTCGTTAACAGACCCGACAACAAAGCTATCAAAAGAAGTTTTTCTAGTTGAACCGTTGTTTTCATCTAACAAATTAAGGGACAGAGATGCATTAACTGCATTTGGAACAATATTTTCAAAATTCTGCACATAATTTATTCTACACATTTTTTTCAAACGATTGTCATAGTCCGGAAGCACATTAGAATCAGCGTCATCAATATTTTGCTTTCGTTTTATAGCATCACTTCCCCGATCATTTACTAATTTTTTAGACATAATGAAAAACAAATATTCACAATTACTTGAAAACCAATGAACTGCAAAACAGATTTGAAAAAAAATAGTAAGAAAAATAAATGAATAAACAGCACACAGGCAAATATAACAAAGCCTAGACCAAAAACGAAAAAGCTTTGAAAGAAAAGTTATCCTTCAATTTAACAAAACGAAAACAATAAATAAAAGTTGCTAAAATTATAGAAATCAAAATGAAAAACAAATAATGAAACCATTAATAAATAAATGTAGAAGTTTAAGTTGGTTACCTTAAGGATAAAATGCGTAGATCCTATGCAATCAACTAAATTGCTCGTGTCTTCTCAAAGATCTGTATATCCATTAGAAACTAACTTTTAATTTTGCTGAAAACAATATATTAACCACAAATTTTATACTATTAACAAATAATAATCATTGTGTTATTATGACTATCCAAATCAAATAACATGTGTAAGTATGTTTGGATATGACTCTTTTGAAAGAAAATATGACATTTATAAACATAAAATAGATGACAAAGGATGACTTTAAAAATCACAAACTTAAAAATTGGATCTGTAAAACAAAATAATGTTATTTTAATACAAAACTTTTTAGGAAAGAAAGTTTATTAAATTTTATTTTTGATGAAATACAGTTAATATAGCATCACACAACAACAAAAAAAAGCATAAATACTCTAATGAAATAGCAACTTATTCCCGATATGTATTTTTATGGGCTACCCCAATTTTGTTCAAAAGCAAAGTTTTTTGTTGGGTTGAATGTTTATTAATCACTTTGACCATTAATTAATTCTACAAAGTATGAATATCTTAGCATTAATTGGAATTAAAAAAAAAAATAGTTGACAAAATTTAGTTCCCACAACAGCTCTGATTTCTTAACATTCTTGAATACATAACATATATTTTCAAACATATTCAGGCAAACACAAAATTCAAAACTAAATTTGTAGTAAAAAAAAACATTTAAAGGCAAATCACATTGATAATATCAACCCAAATCAGTAAATAAGAGTAATATTGGGAAATATTGACCAGTACCTTAGACAAAAGGCCGTTTTCAATAATCGTGTGGTTGTTTGTAAACCCTTTGATGGCCACACAGAGTATCAAGAGTGATGTCATGACAAAGCCAAAATTTCCTACAAAGATAAAAAGAAATGAACAAAAATTAGTCAACTTTGATTTGAGCAGAGGAAAAAAAAAAAAAACTCAAAATTCAAGGAAATGAAAGGACAAAATCACAAATTACATAAGCAAAATTAATAAAACAATAAATAAAATAAGACACCAACATCCACAAACATAAAAATAATGGGTAAAAGCAAGGAAATCCATCTGTTAAGGAGTTTTTTTTTGCTTTGAACCTTGACAACTGGATCTCCTGAACAGTAAGGTGATGAGCACAATGATCCCGGAAAAAATTGAGGCCATGCTTCATAAAATTGATCCAAAGTGTTATGAATGTTTTGAAGGGTGCAAGCACAACCGGAATTAGCAACACCAAGACAAAATTAAGAGGATGTCGTCACAACAAAGACTGAATCGATGATGGCTTCTATGGTTTGACAGGTATGCAAACAGTTGGAATCCATGAGGTACAAAAGAGGAATAGCGAGACAGAGCAAGTTCAACAACAATAGAAAAGAAATCTGTTAAACCAGCGGAAACAAATGGAAAACTGCAGAATATACAACTAAAATAGAGGGTGGGTCGATGGTGAACATGTAGATGGAAAGGGTAGAACAGTCAGTGGACTGTACAAAAAAGGAAACAGCGGGGAAAACAGAGGAAAATCCGAGGAACAAAAATGCCCACACAGTGGATGTCCACAGTAATATCATTCCACATAATGTAAATCCTATAAGAAAAAAAAAAATTGAAAGGCCATCTTTGAGTATGATCGACAAAACCACAACAAACATAGGTAGTTATGGAAATATCACACCACATGATTTGTATTAATTTATGATAACCATGGTCTGTAATGTAGTGGAAATATCCTACATGATTAGTGATAAACTAATTTGAAACAGGTTTTGCTTCCCAATAGCCATTTTTAGAAGCTATCCCAATTTTCTTAAGAAGCAAAGTTTTTTGCCCGCTTGAGTGCTCATAAATCACCAATGCCATTAATTAATTATTGAAAGCATGAACATCCCAATATGAATCTGAATGAACAAACCGTTGACAAAATTTACACATTAAAAAAAGTAGGCAAACAAAGAATAATGACATCTACACTTACCAATTTACACATAAATTCCAATTCTGAATCATTTAGGCTTCCAAAAAATTGCACAAAAATGCTAAAGAAAATGAACAAACTGAAATAAAGCAACATGTACACGCGAAGACTCACCCCAAATTGCTATGAAGGTCTGCTGCACACGCGAGAACACGTTCACAAAGCCTTTCAAAGGCTGATATCCAACTTTCAAATATGAAGATTTTAACCCACAATTGTTATTTCTTAGCTTTAGCCACTTCAGCTACATAACCTGAAAATAATAATAATAATAATAATAATTAATTACAGTTAATTAATCTGGGTTAAAATTAATAAAAAAGCTGGGAAATTTCAAATCTAAAATCACACCTCAGGCTGCAAGTAGAATCAAAACCATGGAATTTCAAAACCACTCACCTTAAACACAAAGGTCTTCGCAGGCTTCAAATGTAATTTCTGCAGAACAAAAAAACCCAAAAAAAAAAAAAAACTTGTAAATCTAATAAAAATGAAGAACAAATATTACAAATCAGATAACCAAAATCACTAAAAACAAAAAAAATCAACATGCATGAAACGGAAAACTAATCTGTAAAAGCGAAGAAATCCATTTGCAAATATGGTTTTTGGTTTCGAACTTGGAAAGTTTGGTATTTTGACCAGCACACCGAGGAATCGAAACATACAAAGCAAAACCCAAAAATTAATCATCAGTATTCCTCTTTTTTTTTTTTTTAAGTTTGAGGGAAAAATCAAAGCACAAACAAAAAAAAAATAACACCAAAGAGATAAATTATATACCTGACCCAGAAAAAGCTAGGAAGAATAAAACCCTAAAACTTGAAGAACAATGTTTCCTGCAACCAAAATGCAAAATCAGAGATAACAACCAGACGTAGAGCGCGAAAAAACAAAGAAAACGATGGGCAAAAAATCCGAATAGCCCATATTCACAACAATCAATCATAAAATTTTCTTCCTAACCAAACAGAAAATAAACCAACACATGAATCAACATACCTGAACGGGAGCGATGCGTTTGTGCAAAACAGGGGAAAAACGCCAAACACCTTCGAGAAGATCCGATTGGAACCGAAGAGGAAAAGAAGAGGAAAACGAACGGAACGACTGAGAGAAAAACGAAGAGGAAAAGAAAAAGTAGAAGATGCTTCTGGCATCTTTCCTATAAAACATAACGTGGCCAAATAAGAAAAGAAAGGGGCAAAATAGACCATTTACTGCACAATCCCACCAAAGTACAAAAACCATGAATTAGATGAGGGTTAAAACTGGGTCGGCACTGTTTATGAACAGTGCTCAACCCTTACGGGTTTTAAGAAAAGAAAGGGGCAAAATAGACCATTTACTGCACAATCCCACCAAAGTACAAAAACCATGAATTAGATGAGGGTTAAAACTGGGTCGGCACTGTTTATGAACAGTGCTCAACCCTTACGGGTTTTAGTATATATGATATGATTAGAGATCAACGTTTAGGGATTGATCTTTTGAAGCTGTTTCGTGATGTAATTGAAGTGTTAATATTTTAATAGGAAAGTTAGAGACTAAATTTATAGACAAAATTTTATAAATTAAATGATATGGAAGTTGATGATAGATTATTACTTAAACGATGATAAACGTGCTCAATCTTATTAGTGACACATTATTTAGTTTGCAAATTTTGTCCATAAATTTAGTCTCCGTAGCATTACTCATATTGTAAAGTGGAGTTTCACATTCTAAAGTGAGACTATCTTTGAACTCTCTGTCACCTGATAATTTAACGTTAATTTTTGTTTCAGTATTATAAAATATTATGCTAAAAATATAATAACAACGAATTCATAAAAAAATGTCACGTGAATAGTACCATGATTGACTTTTTAGAGAAAAAATGTTGTTTTTCGTTAAAATGAACAGTACCGAGAGTATTCCATTAAAATTCCCTACATAATAAAGTTTGGTGCGGAGTTGTTTGCATCTTTGATTGGAAATTGGGAACTGAAAATAACCCATTCATCTGTCTATTTCTATTGTGAACCGGTGATAATATAATTTTGGGATTATCACAAATGGTCTTAAAATTAACTCATCACATCAAGATGGTCCCTGAAATTGAAAATTGATCAATGTAGTTCATGAAAATGGGTTTCACAAATCAATATGGTCATTTCGTTACAATTGTGTCAAAAATTCTGTTATGTGAAGATTTGGTACATAACTAGATCCTAAAAATTTAATTAAATATTACCATGTGAATTAGAAAATATTTAAATAAGTTTTTTTTTTGTTATAATAGGATAATTAAAAACTTTAAAATAAAAAGAAGAAGATGATTGTTCATCATCTTCTTCCCCTCCCCAAAAACCCAACCCTGACTCCTACAGAGACACAGCCATCAATCCAAGCCCTGTAAAAACACACAATGCAATTGCCATATGCATAACCTCCACACCCACCCAACATTGACCACCATACCCACCACCCTCTCACCACCAATGTCTTCCTCTTCCTCCTCCGCTCCTAACCTCTCCCCGCCATCTAATGAAACCACCACCACCTCCACCTTCAGCTCATGCCCTACCTAATCTACATTTCTCGTCCTGCGATCGTATTGACGCCTTTGGGCTCCAGCCAGTCCAATCGCTCGCACCCCTGTTTTCGCGATCCTCGTGCTCTCCGGTGCTGATAATCGAACTGAAACCTCTCTGGTGTCACTCGACAACACTTAATAGAATTTTTAATGAAATTCTAAAGGAAGGCCACATTGATTTGCATAACCCATTTTCAAGAACTACATTGATCGATTTTCATTTTTAGGGATTATCTTGATAGAAGAGGTCAATTTCAAAGATTATTTGTGATAAAAACTTATAATTTTCGATACCAATATGTGGAATCTTTAGTAGAACTTATGGTGAGGACACACAATTCCATAGTACTATACCATTAGGTTGAGGAAAAAACAGAAAAAGTAATAGGCAGTTCAAAGAATATGGGAATAAGACAAGACAAAAGAAAAAAAGCATCGTTAAGTATCAAAACAAATAAAGATATATAATATATATATATATATATATATATATATCCATAAAGTTAATATCGTCAAATGAAATGTATATCATATCCAAATCCTTTTTCATTTTTAATTTTTTTTATTTTATGGATGATTTACTTTGAAATGTTGTTGATCAACTCCCATAATCTAATATAAGGTAATGCTAGGTAGACTAAAATATTTAAATTAAATTTGTAAACTAAATAATGTGGTGATTGATAATTGGATTATCATTTAAATATTAATTAACGTACTTATTATCTACTGATGACACATCATTTATTTTACAAATTTAATTTAACATTTTAATTTTCCTAACATTATCACGTTATTTATGCCACCATTAAGGAACTGAACCGTGCATCCTCAAATGAAACAACACCCTCGCCTTCAAGCTTACTGTTATCAGAATATAGCTAATAGCATCTTCTTGCCCTCTGTCCTGCACTTGGACCTGATGAAGAATATTCCATTGCATGATCGTGCAGAGGTAACTGAGTGGAAGTAGTACTTGGACCAGCAAAACATTGACACATGTCATAATCTCCCCTGAATACTTTTTCTTCTAAAATGGAGATCATTGATGATTAATGAAGTTGCAATTTCCTGAAGCTCCATTTTGAAAAGGTTTGATAATATGAGGGCTTGCTCCGAATTTGTCCATCTGGATGATGATCAGGCTGCATAACTGATTGATGATTTGGGAAAGCCCGAGGTGTAAGAGCACTTCCAGCATAGGGCTTCTTGGGTAATAAACAATTCAATTTCCTTAAATAAACAGTAATTGTATGATGATCAGGCTGCAGAACTGATTGATGATTTGGGAAAGTCCGAGGTGTAAGAGCACTTCTAGCATAGGGCTTCTTGGGTAATAAGTGCATTTTTATCCTAAATTGAATATTCCAGACAATTCGTATTAAAATATTAGTATTATTTATTTATAATAAAAGATTAACTTTATTTTTAGTATTAGATAATAATAAAATATTAGTTGAAAGTATTTGAAAATATTGAAATGCAGTGTAAGTGGAAGAACATAGTTAGGTATTTATAGAAAAATATATATAATTTTTTATATTTTAATGAATATTTTTAATAATTTCTATATTTTTTTAGTAATTTAAACTGCAGCTGACCTTATGATGACACTAGCCTTACGTCACATAAGCAGGGCACTAAGTTAGGTGATTATTGTCTAACTTCTCTATCAAGCTCGCCTTGAGTCCAATTGCCCAAGTGGGTTGGAGTGTTTTGAATAGGGGAAGAGTGGATTGGGTTGCCCATCCCTGAGACAATAAGAAACGGTTGAGTTGCTCTTACAATACTTGTAAGGGATGTACGATCTACACATTCCTTTTTACTTCTCACACACCCCTTGTTAATTTATGTTTGTTGATCTTCTTCAATTCATCTGATCCGACAGCCAGAAACTAAAAAGGTATGGGAGAAGTAAAAAAGGGTGTGTGGATAACACACCCCTACTTGTAACTCGCTGTGGTCCTTGTCCTTCTTGTTGAAGTTGTGGATTGGTCTCGAGTATCGCTGATAATATGAGGGGTTTAGACGTTTGCCTGCAGTGGAAGAAGTGTCACTGGATTCACTAACAAGAAGAGATGAACGCTAAATTGATTGATCTGGAAAAGTATGATATTTGAAACTGCTGGCAGATCAATAGCTCCTTGATCAGATTCTGTAGTACCCTTAGCTGCATTGACGTTGTTCTTGTCCGCCTTGCTTCTGGTATTCTTGTAAATCTTACGCAAAACACAATCATTCAACTGCAGACAAGAAACAAAAAAGTTATTGAGCCATATAAAGTACTCTATGTTAATTAATTGGTCACCATGCAAAGATCAAATAACAATTGCATACAAAATATAGTAATAACGAGAGAACCCTTAGATTTTCTAATCCGAGTGGTTTAATACAAATTAAAGGGTTACATTTTGTGTAGGGTTTATATCATTAAACCCTAAATAATTTGAAAGAACACTTAAATTAACAGTACTCACATGCCCTTAATGCAACAATATAGATGGCTTTGAGTAATTTAATAGTCACATTTGTGGAGTGCAACATGAACATCTCTATGAAGTTAATTAGGATCAACTCGTAGGATGTTGGTTATATTTTAAAAGTTAATCCAACATCTATTACGGCTGAAAAAATATATTATGCTCCAATGTAAATAATACTCCGGAGCATATACTATAAATTTTTTTGTTCTGGTTCACAATATATAAAGTCCACAAATGTATCACCGCAAATACTTCTCTCCCATGATGCCTCACACGCACACATACGTGCACACTTCCATACCTTCATGTCAGCACCATCTATTTTCTTTAGAGGATCAGTCTCATTACCGAGCATATATTCATACATTTTCCAGTCTGTTTTTTCCCCTTCTGGTTGTTTCCCTTCATAAAAGTCCAGGAGCTTTTGGCAGATATATTTTCTAATATTTTATAAACTCGGACTCTCTATAGACATCACAGACACTAATGTCCTCACGACGGCTTTCCATTTGTCTTCCCACTAGTACATAAATATGTTTGCGCGACGCAGCAAATTTTGTCGCGCAAAGCATGTTTGCGCGACGTTAAATTCAAAACGTTGCGCGACGAAGGTATGCGTCGCGCAACGCGATTTTGCGCGATGAAGGTGCACATACGTCACGCAAAATATCATTGCGCGACGCATTCCTGCGTCGCGCAAAGTGTTGTCGCGCAAAGCTACTTTGCGCGACGTTTTGAATTTAACGTCGCGCAAGATATTGACGCCAAGCCAAGAATGTTTTACCGATTTTTTCCCCAACTTTAGCTCTAAAAAATCATCAAAATCAGAATTAAAACTATTGTTAAATCGTGTTTTTTTGTTTATAACCGTCGAAAAGTTTTATCCCGTTACTTGATCTCTGAATGTTTGTTTTTTGAGATTTTTTGGCGTACGCGATCTCGGAGTATATACAAACATTTGACGGTTTGATCGTTGAAACTAGTTTCATAGAATGTGTTTCCCATCAAGTTCAATGGTATATATATTTAGAAAGTATATTTTAATTTATTTATCTTGTACTCATAAACAAAATGACAAAAGAAAAGCCAAAAAAAAAAAAAAAAAGCACTTTGCGCGACGTGGGTACACCTGCGTCGCGCAAATCTGTTTTGCGCGACGCAGGTGTACCCACGTCGCGCAAAGTGCTTTTTTTTTTTTTTTTTTTTGGCTTT